CCTAAAGCTTCATGGTGTGACTTATAAGTTTAATCTCTCGATTGTTCGTACAACTCTATATGTCTCATTTACTCTTGTAAATAGGTAGCATAGTACTTTTTCTCCATTCATCTGGCATTTTCTTTGTTCTCAAAATGTTATTGAATAGTTTGGTCATGCTAATCTCTCACACGCACTTCCAAACCTCCATTGGTATACCATCTAGTCCAAAAGACTTTCTTATTTTCATCTTTCTCAAAACTTCTTTCACTTCAGATATTCTAATCTTGCGAATATATCAATGACTTCCGACCTCATTGATATTAACGGTTCCTCGTAATGCTATGCTTCCAAAGTGGAAGTCATTTAACAATTTTTGAATAATAAATTCTACACCTTTCGTTGACCTCGTCTCGTCATTGCTCACCAAGACCCTCTGATCTTCACTCCTAATGCATTCAACATGATCTAGATCCCTACACTTCCTCTCTCTCATTTTGCTAGTTTGAAAATGTTTATTCAACCTTATGTTGTCCCCAACTTATTGGATAGATCATCATATGCTTAACCTAACTTGTTTTTTAGTATTCTTCTTGGTGTTTTATTAGTCTTCTAAGTTTTAATCATTTCTATTATATTGCCAAGCTTCTAACATAATTGTTTTTTGGTAATAGCCTTTTGAACCTCATTACTCCACCACTTAGTTTGCTTATCTAAATGTTTTTTCCCTTTAGATTGTCCAAACTTAATCACATACGTAGCCTCACCTTTAAATAAAACATAATATTTTCTTTATTATATATAGTAAGCCCCCCTTTTCACATTAAGACATATAAATCATCAGATGGATTTTTTTCTCGCTGCTTTCATATTTTTGGCCAAGGATCCATTTTCAAGGCCAGAATCTTCATATGACCGATTTTTCATATTGGAAAATCATTTTTTGATTAATTTAGTGTCAAATCAGAGCTTATTGTATTCCTTACCTTTTCAACCACAAAAAGTAGATTTCATAAGAATCTTTAAATTACAACTCGGACAACGTATGACAACTTGGTGAAGCTGGTTGATAACTTTGTCGGGCTGGTTGTATTCTGAAGGTATACTTGCCAGGACCCGATTGCATCTCGAATTACATACCAAGTCAGCAGAATTTAATATTTCAAAGAAAGCTAGACCATCTCATGCCTTTAGGTCCCTCCTATATTTTATTTGGTCGGTTTTAATATTTTATATCTCTCTCCCTTCTACTCTGACATCCGAAACCTAGACTCTCAGGGTTTAACAAGATTAAGAGTATTTTGAACATCATGTGACTTTGGTCAAGGTGAGACTTATCGAAATTTTTGGTTTTATGGTTTTGGCTATACCTCCCAAGAATGCAATGTGATCATCACGACTAGTCTCGTGGTTTTATGGCTTTGGCTATGATTTTGGTTTTCAGTTCTTTTGAGTGTTCTTGGGGTAGAAAATGATATTTGGTTCACTAAGTGTGATGGAGTGAAATGCCTTGAATTTGTGGATGAATTTGGGTGTGAAATCAAACTGAGAGTTAGCGTGGTTTGGAGTTTGCAGTAGGTCTAGAGATGTGGGTGAGTTATTTTCAAGAGTAATGCTCGCAAAATATCCAATTCCCAGTAGAATGAGGAAATAGTTATAGGGATAGGTATGTGCTCCAAAATGTCAATGAGGAAGCAGATGGAAACCAGCTTTATTTCCACAAAGGAACTCCAATCAACCTTGAGAAAGATTCTGCTACTGTTCCTGAGGTATTTAAAAGTCTTATAGTTCCATCCATGCAGCAGGATGTCTTGGGCTATATAGTGCATGCCTATTTTGAGGTCTTCTATGAGGAACTACCTCAAATGACCAAAGATTCCAATGCAGCAGCAATTTTTTGAAGGAGAAAGTCCCTAAATGGAGAATGCGCCTAGTTTCACCATGGGAAGAAAGGAAATTAAGATTTCGCCTTCTTGAATAAACTTAAAAGAAACCAACCATGTGGTACTCCAAGTTTTAGTGGCCCATACTTCCATCTCTCTGAGGTCATGGGAGAAAGTTCTGACCAAAGCAGATTTAAGAGTGTCTATCCTGCCATAGGCCACTCAATCTCTAACCATAATGGTTTTCAAGCCAAGTGAGCAGGTCATTTTGTTGAAAGCCAAGTCGTCGTTTTAGGCTGGTACTCTGATTGTGGGTCTGTACATAGTGGTGGCTTATAATAAGTTGTGTTTACTGTTTAGGGTTGTGGCTTATACTGGCCTGAGATTTAGTTGCAGTTGAGAATAGGGATTTTGGATTTGGAGGCCACAAGTAGTCTAGGGACAGGTTGGAAGAACCTAATGGAATACACAGGAAATTGCTGTTCAGGACTAAGCGTTTGATCAGCTTTTTGTCTAGTTTTGGCAAGACGAGGGTAAGGACAGGACAATTAACGTTGTAGTTAGGTCTGGGCGGGATATGATGTTCCCATTGGGATAGTGCGAGCTGTTTCAAACTGGAAGTGATGTGGGTTTCTTTGTTGGATGACAAGGTTTTTGGGAGTGATGATGTCATTGTTCAAACCGCTAGTAGCTAGGGGCTGGAGTAACTAATAGCCATGGTGACCTCGGAGACGAGACACGCCTCATGGCCTCCATTTTCATGATAAGCTTACATCAAGGGCTCTTGTAACATGTTTAGTGGGATAGAACTTTCTCTGAATGGAATGATTTAGAGGAGGAGCTCGAAAGAGAAATCAAGATTATGCTCAATATAAAGAAATATCACTACAAATTACACATTAAGTATTTAATTACTTGGTCCATTGAAGTGGATAAAGTACCCAGGAAAATGGTGGGACTCCATCACCAATTAATGAAAAGGTATTTGAAGAATATGATGAATCAAATAAGCTTGAGGTTGCGTTCTCCTAAACCTCGGAGAATGATGCAACTAGAGTTTTCTATTGTTTTATTTTATTATACATTTTAAGAAGTTTGATTGGGGTTATTTGGATTTTTAATTATCTTTTCAGGTATTTGTCTTTTTTTTTATGGTAGAGTTAGAAGTTTAATTTAAAATAAATAAAGGGCTAGGATTTAATTGCTATTACGGTTTCTTAAGAAGCAATATAGGTTTTCAGGTTTTTCTTTCGTAATATATGTGAATGTTGTACAATGAGAAGGACATAGAAGAAGAAAATATTTTCTTATGTATTGTGAAAAGATCTTTCTGGGGTAGACTCTACTCAGTGAGAGGGTCAAATTCTTAATCTTTGGAGTGGACTTTCCTACAAGTCCAAAGAAAGGGCATATTCTCTCACCTTCGTCTTTGGTTTGTCTTATTTTTCTCCCTCTTCCCTGCATCTTTCTGCAAATTTTATTGTTAACCATATCGCACTGTTCATAAACTCGGAGGCAACCCGCCTAGGAGTTTTGGGGGCAAGTGTCTAGGAATAAGGCTGAGCTTGGCCACCGCGAATGGGTTTAGGCCCCCAAGGAGATCTTAGGGTAGGGGTTTAGGCCCCCTAAGAAGTTCTTAAGGCAGTTTTAGGGCCCCAAAACTGTTGAAAACAAAATAATAATAATAATAATCACATACATCATCATTCATCATATTCACAAAAAAAGAAAAAAAAAAATCAAAATGTCATTTGGCAAATGGAAACACAACGCAAAGTACATATTACATAAACTGAAAAGTAACCATCAAAATTCAAAGACTTAAAGCATGATGTCCATCGTCCACCACACTAAGCTTTCAAAATGAGTTCGATATAGCCCCAAAGCACTAAATATTCACAAAATATTTCAACTAAACCATGTAAAAATATCACAAAAGAAAAACAAAAAATAAAAGAATATCAAATCATGACACATTATATAATAAATACCAAGCCCCAATACAATAAATACCTAGCCCTAATTCAAATATTGTAATGCACTACCATTTTCAAAATACAATCGATATAGGTCCAAACATGTGATCTTTGGTCGCTAAAAGTCCTCTAGTGCAACCACTCCATGCTCCAAAATCTATCACGATGTATATCTTTTTATTTCGCAAGAAATCGAAAATGTTGAATTTTTTTTAATCTTGATAGAAATCTAAAAATCTTCAATTTTTGAGAGTTTTTCATTCTCTAGAATGCCCAAGAAAACACTTTTCCCCCTTTTTAAGGAGCAAATAAGTCAAAAATGCCCCAAGGCCAGGGTGCAACCTAAAAGGCGCCTAAGCGTTTTGGCCTCCAGGTCGCCTAGGTGGCTGGGTGACCAAATTTTTGAACCTTTCTATATCGTAATCTCAAACCTCAACTGAAAGACAAACAACCAAAGAAAGCAGAAGTCACAAAACCATATTTTCAATGGAAATATGAGTTTAGTCTCAACTATATCACAGTGAAGAGATACTCCTAACTTAATTTTCTGAGAATGTAAAGGGCTGCATAATGTGAACTATCCTCAAGGAAATATCTCCAAATATTCTAAAATTTATTTCCATAGACGTCACCAATCTCTAAAATGATCAGTCCCAGGTTCCTCTAATCTATCACTATCTAAGATTTTAGGATTCTTCTTAATAGTAAAAACAGTAAAAAAATAAAAGAAAAGATAGATGCCTTGCATGGACTGATAAGAAAAATTAATCCAATTAAGATTACAAATGAAATATATACAATTGAAATTCATCAAATAAAGCTAGTATGAGTTCCATAATAATAATGTAATCCAGAAAAACACTAGAACGGCAAAAATTCACAAAATATAAAGAAAAGGTCAAGGACCCAAGGAATTAATTTTTTAGACAATGACCTCAATTTTTTTACACTATAATCGATAAGATTACAAAGATACTAAACCTGACATATATTTCAATGTAATTGAACATAATTTTGATCATCACATCAAAACAAGACATTAATTTCTGAAGAAATTTCTTATTATGATAGCTAAAAAGTATCAATACGAGAATAAAATTCTCTATAACTCAAGGAAAACATTGATAATTTCTAGCAAAAGGAACATAGTGCAACGGATTACCAGGAAGCTGAATGTCTATCTGAAATGTTCCACCTTCATAAGGGGTCTCAATGGGGCCTGAAATTGTTCCAGAAAGATGAGAGATATCATCACCATGAAGCGTAATGCTCACCCCTGAGATCCTTTTGTCACGATCGATTTCCACCAGTTCCTTCTGAACACGAGAAACGTCAAGCATTTTCACTGCAAAAGCTTAAACTGCAAAAGTATAAACAATGGATTTCTCTGCAACTACTTGCTCAAGCCTCCATGGTTCTATGGCTTTTTAAGCACGCTGGTTACCATAACGGCACGCTTTACACGACTCTACAGATCCATATACTCTAGGTTTCCCTAGAAAGCGAGAGAATCAACCTCGGTCGACGTAGAGAGAGAGAGAGAGAGAGAGAGAGTAACCTC